GCCAGCTCAGAGCCTCGCTGGCCAGGGTCGGTATCCGTGTGCTCTGATGCTCGCGCTGCCGGCTCGGCGGCTCGTTGCCGTTAGTCCGGAGGGACGGGGACGCTGAGGCTCTCCTCTATGGGATGCAGTAACATGGAAGAGCTGAGGAGGCCGAGGAGGCCCCGGTGCCGGCGCCTGCCTCCTTGCTGCTCCAMGCAGAGCAGTTTCCTTCTCCCCAGCACACAGCTCAGCCTCCCTCCGCAGTGTGGACCTGCCTCAGTTGTCACCGTGTTTTGCCCCACAATGACTTTTCTTGGCTTTTCTCTCCGCCCCGTCCCCCTCTAGGCTGAGAACATCATGTTCCTGGAGCTGGACGTCTCGCCGCCGGCCGTGTTCGAGTTTGAGCGGGGCCGGGACCCGGCCGAGCAGGACCCGCGGGCCCTGCACCTGGAGCGGCTCATGCACCTGGACAGCATCCTGGAGCGGCCGGCGGCCTCCAGGGTGAGGAAGTCCCGCTCCTGGTAAGTGCCGCCGCGCTCCGGAGCCTCCCTGCTGCTGGGGAGGGAACCCGGGACAGGGGGTTAAGATTGGGGAATGTTAACTGCCAGCGCCCAGTTGGCGCTCGCACGGTTAGATCTCAGCGGGATCTATTCCCCTGCGTCGGCCTGGGGTTGAGACCAGCCTTGAACTTGAATTAAATTCTAAATAACTTATATTTAGAATCCGGTTAGCGTTTGGGTTTGGTCGTGCTTGTTAAATGAGCATTAAAAGCAGCATGGGGATATGAGGAACACAAAAGGTGCCGTGCTGCCCAACACTGGCTCTCCCTGGGTGCTGTTTATGTGAAAAAAAGGAGGAATCAGCCGGACTTTTGGCACCAGGGGAGGGCAGGAGGCAGAGGGAGGCCGCGGACAACAAGTTTCTCCTTCTCTCAGGTGCCAGGCGCCGCGGTCGGCGCCGCCGTGCAGCGCGGCCGGGCCCCCGCGCGCCCCCGCGCCGCCGGCTCCGGAGTGACGCCCCGTCCCGTCCCGTCCCGTCCCGCAGCGCCGCGCAGCCGGGCGCCCGCCCCGGCCACGGGCCCGTTCGTCTTTGTCCGCAGCTACGTGGTGTGCGCCTGTGTTTGTGTGAGACTCACGGACAGCTCCCCGGGGCGCCGCAGCGGCCCCCTCCTTCCTCCTCACCCCCTGTCCCCGTCCGGATCCGTCACTTTATTTATTTAATGTATTTATTTATGGAGCGGTTGGTGGCGCGGAGCCAGGAGCGCAGGACGATTCCCGGGTGCCTCCGGCGCCCCGCGGAGCTCCCCACGCGCCCGTCTGCTTGGCCGCATCCCAGCCAACCTCCCGTGCCGTTTGGGCACCAACTCACGGCAACTTCTGCGGGAATTCGGCGGCTTTCCTGGCCGCAGGAGCCTGCGCTGGCCTTGCTACGGACAACCAGAGCCCCTCCGTGCGGCACCAAGCGCACAGTGACTCCTCGCTGACTTCTGGCCATGGCTTCCTGATCCACGGAGGGGGCTGCAAACCAAGCAGAGCCGGTCCCGGCGCTCCCGGGACTTGGTCCATGGTGCCACCCGCCGGAGGTGGCCCTGCCCACGTGCAGGTGGCTCCGCTCGCTGGGTGCAGTTCCCTGGAGCACAGCGGGGAATCTCCATCCACCCATCTATCCATCCATCCATCCCTCCCACCAGGCCTCCCAGACACGCGGCTGGGGAGGGAGCCTCCGCTCGCTGGACCCGCCGCTTGTGTCGACCACCGTCCCGGCAACGAAAGGCAATGAAGAAACGCAGGAAAAAATGGGGGTGCCCGGAGAGGGGGCTCTGCTCGGGCTGCTGACAGCTCACAGCCTCCGCCTCAGGGCCCCGGGAGCTTCTGTGGCCCCCGATGGGCTGTGGAGGAGGAGATAAGGGGTGTGAGATAAGAGAGGCACGAGCARGAGATGGCTGAGCCAGGGCAAGCAGTAGAGGAGCAGCGTGGCGCCGCGCAGAGCGAACCAAGCGCCTTGCCGGCACGCCGGTGCCTCCGCGCCCGGGAGCCCTGCGTGGCAGCGAGGGGACAGGGGACACAGCTGCCCCCGGTCCCGGCCCGGCGCCGCCGGCCGCGCTCCGCTCCCTTTGTCCCGCAGTGTCACCTCCGGGTGCTTGCCCTGTGCTGCCCGCTTGCCCACCTCCTCGGGAGGCCTCCTCCTCCTCCTCTTCCCAAGGAAGTTCCGAGCGGCAGGTTGTTTTGAGAGGCTCCTTCCAGGCCTGAAGTTGATGCCGCGGCGGCAGCTGGGGCTGCTCCGGGCTGGGGACCCGGCGCCGTGGCCGCATCCGTCACAGTTTGCTCTAGAGCTTAGGGAGCCCCCGGCGCCAAAGAGAGCCCTTCCTTGTCCGCTCCGTTTCCAGCCCGTGCCCCGGGAGCGAGGCTGCGAAGGACAGCCCTGGGGAAGAGCAGAAACGCTCCGCAGGCACAAACCTTCCTCCTGCTTCCCGAGGTCTCCCTCAGGCGCGTGGGAATCCCRCGGGGATCGGGACGGAGCCTGTGCTGCCGTGCGGAGCGGAGGAGGGAGCCCGGAGCCCCAGGGCCAGGTCTTCATCGCCGTTCTTCTTTTTGCCCCCGTTTCAGATTTGGAGTTTTGGGGTTTTTTTTCCAGGGGGAGGCACTGGGTGTTTGGGGTGGAATGGCAAGGGGAGGGCCTTCACTAGGACCAAATTTTCGTGCCTGTTGCAATGGTGATTCACGTAGAAATCAGAAGTTGAGCGTACGGTGGCCCGTCCTTGTCACTCTATACATAGGAATATACAGGACATATTATAAATATATATATATATTATACATACWGTACGGAGAGAGGTCACTCGGCTCCCCCGCTCCGGCTTTGGATGGACACCTCGATATCCTGTAACGTGGCTTCGACTCCGCGCTGGAAACGCCRCCAGCGGCCATGGCCCCAATAAAGGAATGAGCATCATTGCCAGGAGCGCGTCCTGCCTCATCCCGGCGGAGCCGGGGGACACCGGGAAGGGGGATCCATGGGGAAGGGGATGCCAGGGAAGAAGGGGGCTCGGCGGGATGCAGTGGGAAGTGGACTCGCTGGGAGCGCTGCCCAAGCAGCGGCGCAAACGGGAGCGCGGGAGCAGCAGCGGGCGCAGGGAAGAGGCTGCGGGAAGGGTTTATTGAAGAAGAGGCCGCTAAATCACCCCAATCCCGGGCTTCCCTTGGAGACCCTTCCCAGCCTGGCGTTGAGGACCCCCTCCTGAAGCCGCCGCCTGACGCTGGGTGCCGGTGACCACTCTGGGTACAATATCCCTGCGCTGTGCGGTGGTTCCTCCGGCTGTCCCGGCGTGTGAGGACAGGGACCCAGGTGAGGAAGGTGCAAGCTCTGGTGGGTGGTGGCCAGGGGCAGGCCAAGGGGCAGTGGGTGCAGGTTGCAGCGCAGGCAGCTCCATGTGGCCGTGAGGAAGAACTTGTTTGGTGGGAGGGTGCCCGAGCCCTGGCCCAGGCTGCCCAGGGAGGCTGCGGAGGCTCCTGCTCTGCAGATCTGCCAGCGCGCCGGGATGCGCCCGGGTGCCCCGTGCTCTGGGTGTCCCTGCTGGAGCAGGGGCTGCGTTGGGGGAGCCCTGGGGGTCCCTTCCAACCGCAGCCATCCTGGGATCCTGTGAAATTCTTCCCAAAGCACCTGGGGAAGCAGGTGGGGAAATAGCAGTGCGGCCAAGGGCCACCCTTGGGAAACCAAAGACCATCCAAGGTGCCCTGCACATAGAAACGCCCAAGGAGCCCTCGGCTGTGCGGAGGAAGCRCGGCGGGAGATGAGGAAATCCCAGGCACTCTGGCGGGTTATTTACTGCCGAGGCTTCAGAGCCCCGTGTGAAAGGTGCCGAGAAGGCCAGAGGACTGGGTCAGGCTGAGCCTAACCGCCCGAAACACCAGAAATGTCAGTTTGGGCAATGCACGCGATACCACGGGGTGGAAAAGGGGCTCCAGGCAGGACAGAACGCCCTGTTTCTGCTCTTAAAATCCCAGGGAATTTTGACTTTCCCTATGGCAACGGCAAAGCGTTGCTATTGCACTTCATAAAGAGCAATAATAAGACAGGATGGAGTCGGGTGCTCAGTGAGCGTCGGCTCCTCTCTGCCRTCCCACCCCTGCACGTGACAGCGGCCCTTGGCCTCCCGTCACCCTCGGGGACTGGGGTTCACGATGTCCCCAAGGCAGCAGCCGCGGGGGACACCCCCGAGTCCCAGCGCGGAGTCACCGGGCTCGTGGCTTGGCTGCTGGGGACAGTTTTAACAAGCGCCCTGTTTATTTCATGCGGAGATCGGGCAGACTGAGCAGGAGAGAGGATCCTTCCCTGGGCGCAGAGCTCTTCATTTCCCCACGACCCTCCTTTGCTCTCCTGCAGGAACCTGCAGAAGGAACAAGGTCTGCACCACCACACCGAGCCACGTTGTGTAAGCAGTGCTTGAAGGACTTAGGGCCCCTCTACTGGCACCTCAGAACAGATTGTGGGGTTTTTTTAATGAAATTTTTCAAAATTCAGGGTAAACCCATTATGACAATTTTGTTTTCTGTTCTTGCTACCTTTTATAGGAGTTCTTTATAGGAGTTCTTCCATGCTAAAGTAGATTTTGGATTTTGAAATCTAAACCTGAAATTCCCCCTAAGTTCCGCGCGGTTTCAGTGGAGGAATTTGCCTTCTCGTAGGGACCCCAGGGACCCACCAGGACCCGTTTGCTGCTGTGACCATCTGGGGTCCGTGGAAGAGGGGGAGCTGCCTAGAACTCAAGCAAGTCCCGGGCTCTGATGGCACCAGAGCAGAAGCCGCCTCGAGGAGGTGGGAGGCGAGCTCTGCATCCCGCCGGAASGCCGGGAATGGCGGGAACCCCCTCCCGCTGCCACCCTTGGGCAGGGTCTCTGCGCCCTGTCCCCTGCCCTGGGGCAGTGCCCCGGTGCAAGGCTTGGGGTCCCCAGGCCGGGGCCGCTGTCCCTGCAGGGACATGGAGGGAGACGTCCCGGCTCTGTGCTCGGCACTCCGGCCCCGGTGCGGCACGGGAGCCTCTTCCTATGAAAGCTGCAGAGGAGACAAACGTTTCTCCTGCGGGGTGCAAGGGGACACATGGGGTGGCAGTGGCCGCCTTGATGACGGTGTCCAGCACAGCGGGACATGAGCTCGGAGAGTGGGACACAAGCTCCACGAGGAGGATGTGAGCTCCA